CCCCGTTTGTTTACTTGGCGCCGCGGCGACGTCACGTACCGGGCCGGGCTGCGGGGGCGGCCCCTGCTCTGCCCCGCCACCACCGAGGGGTTTGTTTCTAAACTACTGAGAGCTGCGCCGTGCCGGGGTGCAGAAAGACGCTGCCCGGAGGGGAGAGTTTCATGGTCCCGGCTCCTGTCAGCCTCCGTCCTAGGACTCTTTATAGCGACTCGTCCCTAAGCGTAAACTTGCTCTGATGCGTGCCCGACTACAAGAAGTCTTTTGGGGATGCCGTTTCTTAAAAATTGACGTGCGAGCCACGTGACTGTGTTTAAACAACAAAAAAAAAAGCCCCTTGCAACTTCATGGCGCTGAATTTTCGCGATGCGTTCGTTGTTAGCTTTGCCCTGCGTTGGAAAAATAACGGGTGTATCGCTTGTGCCTCCGTGAGGGGTGTGACGCAGCTTGACTTCTTGCCAGCCTAGACTGTTCCTCCCCTTCCCGTCCTAAACAGAAGGGACCGATGTTTCTGGGAAACGCAACTCTTGTTTTTCTGGGCTGCAGCTCACTGTATGTAGCGATGTTCCTGTCAGAAAGATTAATCTTAGGGAACTCGCTGTGAGGATGGTTGTTTTAGATGACGGCCGAAGTTAAAAATGAGCGCGATGGCAGCTCTTCATCTTCTGAAGATCTCTGCTGGGTGCTTGGCATGGGCCAGGGATTACCTTTCATGTAGTACATAAAAATCATTTAGAATAAATCTGGTTACAGGGCAGACTGCTGCTGTCTGCCGTCTCCTGCGAGACTGGTAAGGAATTTACATTGCAGATGTGTTTTTGATCAAGGGAGAAAACAAAAGCCAAAACCATTAGCTCGTTATGCCTGGATGGGTTTTTTTGCCCTTGTTGATTTGCAGTTGGGGTTCAGTGTTTCCAAAATGTTGTGAAGGGGAATACTTTGATGCTTGTACTTGGCAAAAATCCTGAATTGCCTTCTGTTTTTGTATTGGTTGTTCACTAGTCCTACCTTGCTGCCAGTGGTCTTTCTAACTCCCTTTGTACGTGGTATGTCAAACAAGGATCCACGGATACTGAGTTTGTAGCTGTTGGTACAGTCAGAAGATGAAGTTGTCTTGTTCTTTTGTGTAAGGTTTTAGAGCACGTTTGGAAATAGCTCTTCTGCCTGGGGAGATGCTGTCATCAGTGGGCAGAGCAGGGAGAGGGACTTGTCAGGTGATGGTGAACTCTGTCCTGTGGAGCTCTGCTGGGTGGGAAACCTTTTGCCCCTGATTTTGTAGTAACCTATGATATAGCTGAGAGCAAGCACCTTTCCTGTTTGAAGACTGCTTTGCTGGTGTTTGTGCCACCTTGGAATGGCTTACGTTTACTTTTGGCCTGTTTCTTATTGGTTTTGAGTGCCTTTGCAATTCTCGTATTGGTTTTACCTTTTGCTCTTGAATACATTCCTATTCAAGGGTTTTGATTAGGAAATCCTTCCCCCCCACCCCGTGTCAGCAGAGCCTAGAAAAAGTCACTGAGTGGTACAGTGACATTGAGCAGTGATTACGTTGTAACATAGAGCGGCTTCTGGCTTAGCTTAGTCCTTCAGCTGATGACATAAGGTTTTTTGACTTGGGACTTTTTATTGGTGAAGCTGTATAAGAAATGAAGTGTTTTGATAGCTCCCTGTAGTAGAGGGAAAGCAGCACATCCTAAATAGTTGCTGAATGCCAGTGCTTTCATGTTTCCCTTGCATTAGGAACTGGAGACAGTGCCTTCAGCAAAAACAAGTGCACAAGTTGTCATAACCTCAAGTGAGCCTCGGTTTGAGCAGCGGACTTCAGGAATCCCTATGTTGGCAACTGCTAGAAAGCTTCTGGATCAGCTTGCTGGAGGAAGGCTAAAGCTATTAATTGTGGTAGTGTGCATGTTGTGTTTAGTGAAGTCTGTAGTTGGAAAGCTTTGCCAGTATGCTTCTGGTAAGTTATTATGGCACAATATATGATACGGCTGATACGACGTACCAGCCAAACTGTGGTTCGGGAAGCGGACCTCTTTGACAAGCATCGAATAGCACAGTGACCTTGCACAAACGTTGTTTGTTATGCTCATGCTGTGATGTAGCCTTGATCTGGCCTCAGTTTTGCAAAGCAGCAGTAGTTTTTCACCTTGCTGCTGTGGTGGTAAGCTGAAGTTCTCATGTTGTGCTGAATCTGCGACTGCAGGTTCAGAGCAGCCGTTGCAACACGGGTAATGAAAGCTTTCAGAAAGCTGTCAGTTTCCAGCGCCTGTTTTGGGCCCGTCCTGCATGTAGTGATACAAAGGAGAGTCTTTGTGTGTTCAGGTTAGTTCTTGCTTGATAACTTTGAAGCTGGTATTTTATATGTCACGCAGCAAGTGTACCTTCTGCAGGAACTGCTAGAGTATCAGTGTCCCCCGTGTGTCATAAATATGATGCTACGTCTTCTGTATGTGTTTGTTTTCTGAAGAAAACAAATCAGATTGAAACAACAAATGAGCTACTGGTAAACCCATGGATATAAAGCATCTTTTGAATTACCAGCCCTGCTAGTATGAGGCTGCTGTGTTAGCCACGTGAACCAATTTTTCCATGGTGGTCCTGAAAACAGTAAGATGTCATGCTAGAAAGGGCTGTTGGTGCTGTGCTGATGCATCAGCTGGTGCCTGGCTGATGGTGCCTTGTCAAAGAGCTGGAGCTAATGGGGAAGATGCATAAAGGAATGAGGAATCAGTGTCCCTTCTGTTCTTTGAATTTAAAAGCTTCTAATAGAAATGGATGAAGCTCCTGCACCCCCTCACCTATACAGAGGATAGATATGTCAGAAGCCCTATGTTCTTGTTTGCCCTTGTAAGAGAACAAACTAGTTCCACAAAGCCTGCAGTTAGCTCATATGTGCAGCTTTGATTTGAGAGTTTGACCTGTGGAAGCACAACATGATTAGTGCAGGAATATGTAAGTGGAAAGTAAGAGTTTGAACCATGTTACTGAGGTTTCTCAGGTTTTCCCAAAAGAATACGTACAATTGGGAAATAAATTTGAACAGTTAAAACGGACAAGGCTGTATAGAAAATGTTCTTCCAGATCTTAATGGATCTGAACTTTTTTGTTTTGAGCCCGTTGTAAAATCTTCTTTAGCATTAGAAGAGATAATCTCAAAATGAAACTTTACAATGGGTGCATGATCCAGTGGTTGGATAAATAGGATCACACCATTCACGTGCTCATTTGCTTGATATTAAGTTGGTGCAAACCATGAAGTGTTCCCTTTAGAGGTGCAGCGTTTGCATGGGTGTTTTGTGTGCGTGTTTGTTTTTGTTTTGTGGTTTTTTTTTTTCTCCTGGTCCTGCCTTGCTAGTGTTATGGGATAGTCCTGATACGTTGTCAAGCTTTCAGGGTGCTTCTATAATCTGAAGTCATAGTTAGAGATACTTACTGTACCACTTTCTCCAACAACATTGGTCCTGTGAATAGTCGGTTTCGGAGGTTTTTCTGGTGTTTATACTGGATTAGGCCAGCATTTTGGGAGGAAAATAAGTTTTGAGCATCCAATACTTAGTTGTTTTTTTTTTTTTTGGTAAAGCTTTTGTTACTTGCGGGGGGTGGGTGCGGATTTTTTTAGTTGGGTTTCAGTTTGCTAGTACTAGGATATGTCCAATTCAAGCTATTATGAAAGTGCTTATCTGTAAGGGTGCTGCCTTAAATCTATTCTGCTAGTGTCAAAAACAGTTGTGTGGGGACTCTGCAGATAACTAAGTAGAATTAAGCCTGTGGGTCTGTAGTGGTGGGGATGCAAGGAAATCATACCTATTTTTTATATTGCTATGTGTGGTTTCTTGGGCTAGCAAAATAACTGCAGCAAAAGATGGCGCAACACTTGTGCGTACATATAAGTCCATATCTAATCTGGCCAGGATCATGTAAGTAACTTCTGGGAAAGTGCAGATCTTACTGTAAGTGCGTGGAGTGTCACTGATAAAACTTTGCTCTTCCTTGCGCTGTTAGGTAACTGAGCTCATAAAGCTGGACAGTGCAGGCTTTTAGGTTAAGATGCACTAACAGATAAACCCTCTTGTCTTAACAGGAAAATGTTTATTGGCGGCCTTAGCTGGGACACTACAAAGAAAGATCTGAAGGACTATTTCTCTAAATTTGGTGAAGTCGTAGACTGCACTCTGAAGCTAGATCCCATCACTGGGCGATCAAGAGGCTTCGGCTTTGTACTCTTTAAAGAATCGGAGAGCGTAGATAAGGTAGCGTTACTGTATAATCAGCATGTTAAATTCTAGGCGGCAAAAATAGAATGTTGAGATGCTTGTATGCATAGGTGTTTGTACGTAATCTGTTCAAGGTGGTTTTTGCCATGCAAGGAACTAAAGAGTATGCTTATTGAAAGTGTGTGTTTTTTTTTTTTTTTCCTTCTTCTCTCCTCAACTGCCTTAGTCAAGATGTAGTTGCTAGGAACATAATTTACAAAGGCATGAGGCCTTTGGGATCCAGACCTGCAACAGTGAACTCTTGGCCCTGGGGCTAATATTGGCTTTCATAGATTAGGGCTTTATCAAAGCAAAAATGAGCTGTTAACCTTTCTCAAATGCTGTTGGCATAAGATGCTGGCAAGTTTTTGCCTTCAGTGATCCTTGATGATCTTTAAGCCATGTATGAAGTCCTCCTTTTTATTTTTATTTTTTTTTTTTTTTTTTGGAGGTTTGAGGAGGGGAGGGTGGGATTATAGCATATTTTCTTAGAAACGTTATGTCCATATTTCCCTGGCGTGACAGATGGTTCCTGAGGATTCTTGAAAGGTTTTGGTAGGACTGTCTACCTGTCAGTGGGTAGTGATCAAAATGATAGGACTGTTTGGCTTCATGCAGCAAATGATCAGTGTAATTTGAATGCTTTTACTGTGCTTTGCTTTGTTAATGCTATCCGTTTGAAGTACCTGGTCCTTACTTAAACACCAGGGAAATATTTAGCTTGAATTACGATTAAGAGCCTGACGCTTGCTTTAACTTTCCGCAGGTCATGGACCAGAAAGAACACAAGCTGAATGGAAAAGTCATTGATCCTAAAAGAGCTAAAGCCATGAAAACAAAAGAACCTGTTAAGAAGATTTTTGTTGGGGGCTTATCTCCAGACACCCCTGAAGAGAAAATAAGGGAATATTTCGGAGGTTTTGGTGAGGTATGTGACAAAGTTGAAATGTCTACTTCGATGTGCAGAACTTGGGCCTTCTTGGTCCATTTAATAAGAAGAAAGCCTTCATACCAAACCGGAAATGAAGCTGGCCATAAGCTTAATGGCCAGTGTAGCTTCTTGACGCTAAGTATTCAGAAGCGTTTGTGATCAGAAACTTAACTAAAGGCTTTGATTTGCATGTGTTGGTAATCTGAATTGGGTTAATGGAAGAAGGGATGGATGCATATCGGAGACTGAGGAACTGATTCATGGGATGTCTGATGGTCTTGACGGGGGTTTGGTGGGGGACAGCCTTTCTGAGTGTGCTGCTTTGGACAGCTGGGCGAGATCATCTTGACCCCAACTAACCTGCTGGGACGCGGATTGAGACAGCTTACGTAAAGTGTGTGCAGCTGCATGTTGTCTGTCTGCATCCCCAGCTTTTGTTGGTGCAAATAAACTGTCCCAAAGTGTCACTGTAGTGCTTAAAAGCTAAACGTACATGGGCTTGAAGTTGGCTGCTTCTGCTGTATTAGTTGATGGATGTTGCCGGCATCAGGTCCTGACAAGAATTTTGTTGGCAGGGAATTCAGTTCTTGGCACCTGCCATCTTACTACCTTCCAGATGATTGGCTTTGCCCTATAGACTTTAGCTACCGTTCAGTAAAGCTGAAATCCGGGGAACCATGTGTAGGGAGAACTTCCCTCTGATGTGTTTGCAGTCAAGGGTTGAAATGGCAAAAATTGGTCCTAACGAATAGCTGTAGCAGCACTATGGGTAAAAAGAACTCTGAACTTGCTCAAAGTTAAACCTTCTTAATGTGAACCTTGAAGGTTGAAGTCTGCTTAAGGTTTGCAATACCTAGTTAACCTCCATGTTAATTGAGTTAAAACAGAGTCAAACTGAGACTGTTTGTCCAGCACAGTTAAAACATGGTTTATGAACCATGCTTTGTAAGAGTTTGAGGGAAAAGATCTTTCGCACAATAGGAACGTGGTTTCTAGTGATGTTGATGAGCGTAAAGCCCTATGAAGCAAGCACGTTGCCATATTCAGGTTTCACTAAGTTCAGCTGAGAGATTTGAGCTGCTAAAGTAACATGTCGAAACAGCATGAATGGCAAGATAATAGCTGAAATAACTAACTGTCTTCTGCCAGGTCGAATCTATAGAGCTCCCCATGGACAACAAAACTAACAAAAGGCGTGGATTCTGCTTCATTACTTTCAAGGAGGAGGAGCCAGTGAAGAAAATAATGGAGAAGAAATACCATAATGTTGGGCTTAGTAAAGTATGTGGAGTTTTTCCTAGAGGAACGTAACACTGATAATAGAGCAAATTACATTCCCAGTTGCATGTGTTTTGGGGTAATAGTCTAAAAATAACTGTAAGCATTATTTCTATGATGTAGACACAAAACTTCTGAAGCTTTGACATAGGTGCTAGGAATCTGTTACTGTAATCCTGACTTTTGGACTCAGAGGGTTTTTGGGAAGGCTTATGCATCCCTCATGGGGAGAGGGCTGGGCAGCAGCCTGTTTGTTCATGCTGAAGCTCCCACATTCTCTTGCTGTTTAGACCGAGTGCTGCATCACTTCTCTGCTGTGTGAGGCTTCACCACATCGTCCAGGTAGCTGGATCGTTCTGCAGTGTTTAACGTGGAAATACGTTGTTGTTTTAAGCAAAATGTGAAGTTTTCTTGGAGCTCTTCCAGTCTCCTTCCAGTTCTGGAAGTTAGGCTTTCCTCTTGGAAGTGGCATTCCTTGCATCAATGTGGCTTAAACCTAGGAACACAGACTAAAATGGTACTTGGCTTCATTTTTGATGCATGAGTGGAGGCTTCAGAACAGAGTTGAGGAGAGATACTGATGATGTTTTCATAACTTTGCTTTCACTTTTCTCAGATACCTGAAATATGTCTACTTCAAAAGAAAAAAAAACTTAGAATGAAAAAAGATTCTCTTCAGAATGGGTTGTATGGACAGAAAGTTATGAAACTTGCAGTGTTTTTACTTTTTAGCTTAATTTCTTTGGTGTCTTTCAACGAGGTTAAAGCTGAAAAACGTAAACTATACCTTTCTCATAGAGAGCACCAGGACGGCCACTTTCTATTTTCTGTTTAGTTTTCTAAGTTGGTCCTTCCCTGTTGGCTCAGAATGATTTGAGGAATGTCCTTGCTAATTGGATCTGACTTGAACTTTGCATTTCCAGTGTGAAATAAAAGTAGCCATGTCCAAGGAACAGTACCAGCAGCAGCAGCAGTGGGGAAGTAGAGGAGGATTTGTCGGAAGAGTGTATCCCCTGGAAAGAAAGGCAAGGGGCTCGC